CAGACTGAAGCTGGATCATCAGACTGGATCTCTGAGCATCACAAACACCAGAACCACAGACTCTGGAGTTTATAAAGTCACCAGCAAAAGCTCAGGGACCCCACTCAACATCTTCAGTCTTACTGTCTATGGTGAGTAGAGAATTACTTACCCGTTTTTTTATACTCATCTTTTGATAATAATGACTATCAGAATTATTACGAATATTGTCAAATAATAGACAATCATGTGATGATAGATTTATATTCCTGTGCATTTGATGATATAATAATTTTATAGAGTTTTTTCCTCATAACTTTGTTCTCAACTTATGTTCTCTGCAACTTTATTTACATTTTAAATATCAAATGACAAACAATTATAACATCATATTATTATACTGAATTGTATTTATCCCCTCATGTTTTCAGCTCTGCCTGTTCCCGTCATCACCAGAGACTCCTCACAAAATTCTTCATCATCATCATCATCATCATCATATTGTTCATTGGTGTGTTCAGTGGTGAATGTGGGTCATGTGACTCTCTCCTGGTACAAAGGAAACAGTATCTTCTCCAGCATCAGTGTGTCTGATCTCAGCAGAAGTCTTTCTTTACATCTGGAGTGTCTGGATGATTCCTACAGCTGTGTGGTGAACAATCCCATCAGCAACCAGACTCAACATCTCAACAACACTGAACTCTGTCAGCCATGTTCAGGTACTTCTGTGATAATATTTAATGTTTATGTACACATTCACTCACACTAATGACACTCTCCTTCACATCCTCCAGATGTGATAGTGTTGGTCTCTGCTGCTGCTGCTGCTGGATCTCTGTTGATTGCAGCTGCAGTTGGGATCTTCTGCATCTGCAGGAAACACAGAAAAACAGACAAAGAAGGCAAGTATTGCCTACTTTTACCTACTGCATGTGTGTGTATAATAATATAAAACAATACTCAAATATCAGTTCATTGAGAATTTTGTTTCTGTTATGTTTTGTTACAGTTCAGATCCGTGATAGAGAGATCACTTACGCTGATCCCACATTTTACAAAAGACATAAATCGGTAAGCGTATCTATGATGTTTATGTATTATTTTAGCAGTGAGTCCATTTTAAGTGTGTGTTTAGTGATTTACTCTGATGCATTTATATTGTAGGGTCACACAAGAATATCATTTAAAGACATTACAATATCGCCACATCACAAACTCTAACATGTCATCCAAGACACATGTATTCCCACCAAAATGTGAAATTATATTATAGGCAAATTTTAACCTAATTAAAATATTTAATCAAACAAAGAAAGAGAGAAATACTGAAATATTCCCTCCATATGTAACACAATCTCATGCCAATTCATAGGTAAATTATGTTCTGGTGAAGTGGTTGGTAATTTATCTAATTTATCTGCTTACACCCCATAATGAGAATGTTTACACGTGGACCTTCATGCTCACATTTTTGTAATAATGGTAAGTTTTTGTATGATTCACCGTACAAATTCATATGAAATCTCCACGTCGTAACATAGTTACATTTTCCTGTGAGATCAGATTGTCTGTTCTCCAAACTTCTTGGAACCTGGTTTGAAGAAAATAGCAGTTTTCTGCTGATATGATTGTTACTGTATGTGCAAAAATTGATAAAGACTGGTCTGTTTGTAGATCAGCAAATATAAAGCAAAATGCTTTTTATTTAAACATGCTTCTTTTAGCCTATATTTAAAACTATATTCCAAAAATAAATAAATAAATATAAATATAATAAATATATATATATATATAAAACTGTGGAACGCACAACACTATTTATACACTCATACACTAACACACATAACACACATACTTAGTCTACACCTCAAATTTGCACATAATATACCTGTACATACAAAACTGTCTATTGTAATATACCTGCACATACAATTGCCAATTTATATATTTTTATTCCTTATTTACTTGTTCTATTTTTTATTATCTGTGTTTTTTGTTCTGTCACTGTCATTCTGTTGCACTGTGGAAGCTTCTGTCACGAAAACAAATTCCTCGTATGTGTAAATATACCAGGCAATAAAGCTCATTCTGATTCTGATTCTGATTAACTATAATATATATATATATATATATATATATATATATATACACACACACACACACACACACACATACATTTTAGAGTATTCTTGTCAAGAAGAAGACATAAATAAGTTCTTGATAAATAAGGCAGTGAATGTTTGTGTTTTCTTTCAGAGTGCTACAGAACAGGATAATGTGGTGTACACAGGAGTCTCAAGACGTTGATCAACTCTTGAACAAAATGTGATTCTGTTTTTGGATAACTTTCTACACCCCAAATACAGAGACAGGAGACAGAATCACATGTTCTTTGTGAATACAAATATATGCCCGTTAAATGTCATTATGTCATAGGTACTCATACATTTGAAAAAAAAAAATAAACATTGCAAAAGGGAGTTTTCACAGTGATGGCAAATAACTTTTTAAGAGTGTTTTTAAGAGTGTCAGACAGGGCTGGACTGGAGTTAAAATTCAGCCCTGGAAAAATCCAGCCCATTCAGCCTACGATTTCCCTATGAATGTTTTGCTGGGGTTAGGGCCTTAAAATAGGACAGAAACAAAAAATTAATAGTTATTATTGAATATACTGCATTTTCTTCACATAGAAATGCACATTTAAAAGTAAAACTAATTTTGAGCTAGGATGCAGTAAAGTAAATTAAATCTTGATGCTTGTTTGTATTTGTCAATTGTTGTTTGTTGTTGATGAAGAGTTGCCACAGATACAAAAATAATTTCCAAAAGAACAATAAACTAAATTAAACTCCTTAATAACAATAGAACTTTTGTAAGTTAATTTCTAATTAATGTAAGACACTGATGTTAATCTTTCATCATTCATATTTTACTTTAACAGTTAAAATTTATTAGAACTAAACATATTTAAAGAGAAGAAAGCATTTTACTTAATTAATGGGATCCACGCATTAAAGCTCCTTTGTCAAATTATCATTTTAAGATACACTATCAGTCAAAAGTTTTTGAATATATTTTAAAATGTAATTTATTACTGTGATTTCAAAGCTGAATTTTAGCATAATTACTCCAGTCACATGATCCTTCAGAAATCATTTTAATATTCTGATTTGCTGCTCCAAAAACATTTATTATTATTATTACTGTATTATTATTATGCTGAAAACAGTAGAATTTTTAGGTTTCTTTGATAAATAGAAAGTTCAGAAGAACAGCATTTATCTGAAATAGAAATCTTTTGTAACATTATAAATGTCTTTATCATCACTTTTGATCAATTTAAAGCATCCTTGCTAAATAAAAGTATTAATTTCTATAACCCCCCCCCAAAAATAAATAAATAAATAAAACATTATACTGACTCCAAGCTTTTGAATGGTAGAGTGTATAATGTTACAAAAGTTTTTTATTTCAGATAAATGCTGATCTTTTAATCTTTCCATTCATCAAAGAATCCTGAGAAAATGTACTCAACTGTTTTAAATATTGATGATAATAATAATAATAATAATAAATGTTTCTTGAACAGCAAATCAGCATATTAGAATGATATCGGAAGGATCATGATGCTGAAAATTCAGCTTTCCATTACAGAAATAAATTATCATTTTAAAATATATTCAAATAGAAATCAGTTATTTTAAATATTACAAATATTTCACAATATTTCTGCATTTGCTGTACTTTGATCAAATAAATGCAGGCTTGGTGAAAAGAAGAGAATTCTTAAAAAACATTAAAAATCTTGCTGTTCAAAAACTTTTGACTGGTAGTGTATAATTTAAAATTTAATTTAAAAAACATTTAATTTTAAAAATAATTATCATTTTAAATTGAATTGCTCCAATGAAAAGTTACCATAGTTCTTGCCTAGAATCCAGAATTTAACTGTTCTATTAGTAAGATCATGGTAGTCAGGTAAAATCACGCTTCTCATTACGTATGCTTTCTAAAAAACGAATAATATTTTCAAATAATAGTAATAACAATAACAACAAACAACTATGGAATCTGTGGGAAAAAAATCTTAAACATATCTAGAAACTAAGAAAACAACCTCTATTAAAGTGGCATCACTTTTGCAAGAGAGTGCAAAATATTTGATATATATATATATCATATTTCATCACCATGTCTCTTTAGGAGCTCCATATGCTTATGATAAAGATAATGAATGAAAATAATATAACAAATAACAGTTTGCAGTATCAAGCATCACAGTGGACAGTTTCTGTACAGTTAAAATAACTGGAAGCAGATGAGGTTCAGAAGGGTCCGTGTAACCCTTTGCAGTTCTTTGTTCAATTCGCACCATCCCACTGGTACGGTCCAACTGGGAGCACAAAACAGAGAAGTGGAAAATCAGAATAATGAGTCATTTTTTATGTTAGTTCAAAAATCAGATTCGGGCGCAACAACCCAAACTCGTAAAATTGAAAATTAAAATGAGAGACAATTATCCGTTTGTAAATTGCTCCAAAGAAATTGAAAATGAAAGTTTGAAGCCAACTTTTCATTTGGTTCATTTTGATGGTGCGAATTGAACAAAGAACTGCAAAGGGTTACACGGACCCAGAAGCCTCACACATTCAAGCTACAATGGCCACACTGCTCTTATGTTAAAAATGAGGTGGATAAAAAATCTCTCTTGCTTCACCGATCAGTCCTTTACTCAACCGACCTGCTGGGAGTGTGCTCCTGATGGCCAGTAGGCCTATATTCCTGCATATACAAAAAATAAAAATAAATAAAAATAAATAAATAAAAGCCCCTGAATTAAAGATGATCTGCCCCTGTGACTGTCTAAGTATCACTGTTGTTTCAAATATACTTCTATTTGTTACATTTAAAGTTTCTGGGAGTTTATGAACATTAATGTGATAATAAAACAAGGTCAAAAGGTCAAACATTATAACATTATCCCAGTTAAAAATGTGATATTAATGGATTATAAATCATGGCTTTTGAGCAGTGTTTTTGTGCTATTTATGTTTGTGTTAATATCAATATTTTTTGTCAGTCCTGTGTGTCTCTGCTGATACAGATGAATCTGCTGGGGCGCCACCTACTGGATAAACATGTTATTTCACTAACAGCTCCTCAGTCACATATTATATTTTATAATGTAAAATCTCTTAAAAAGCTGGTATGCATCTGTATTTCATATATATTTTTAATTTCTTTAACCTGTTTCTGTACAATGTTAAATCAATTTATAAGAATATAGATTCTTTAAATATATTCTTTAGGCCTCTTTCCTGGCCTTTGGAGGAAAAAAAAAAGAGTATCAAACATTGCAACATATGCATTTGTACCATCATTACTATTGAAATATTGAACTATTGTTAAAACTATTGAAATCTCAGGTATAAAAAGTGTTCAAATGATTAAAAATCTCAGGTATAACAAGTGTTCAAATGATTAAAAATCTCAGGTATAAAAAGTGTTCAAATGGATTCAGAATAAAGTGTCTTTAAGTAGCTTTCACATGAGCACCCAAAAAGACTAATATAACCATTGAGAATAGCAGATCTATAAAGGATGTGCCACTGGAAATAACATCCACTGCTTTTTATGACATAAAACAAAATCACTTTATATTGCTCCTGGATTCTGCATTTCGTTACATGTATTCATGTAACTAACAATGTTTGTCACCTTTAATATATATATATATATCATATACATACATATATACACATATCACATATCATTATGTGTAATAAGATTTTGGTTAAATAGCCCACCCCTAGTTTATATATATATGTTTTTTTTTAAAGGTGACAAACTTTGTTCTCATCATGTCTGTGGGTATTTCTGTTGAAAACATACTGCTAATCAGTTATAGGAAGATGTTGACCACTAGAGTGAAGAAAAAAAACGATGAGTGTGAAATGAGAAGCTGTGAAGAAAAACAGCTGACCACATTTGCTCGGTCGCAAAAATAAATGTGTGAACATCAGTCACTTCAGTTTATATTCCACTCTGCTCTAGTTTGATCTTTATCTCTCAGCCTATCTATAAAGGATGTGCCACTGGAAATAACATCCACTGCTTTTTATGACATAAAACAAAATCACTTTATATTGCTCCTGGATTCTGCATTTCGTTACATGTATTCATGTAACTAACAATGTTTGTCACCTTTAATATATATATATATATCATATACATACATATATACACATATCACATATCATTATGTGTAATAAGATTTTGGTTAAATAGCCCACCCCTAGTTTATATATATATGTTTTTTTTTAAAGGTGACAAACTTTGTTCTCATCATGTCTGTGGGTATTTCTGTTGAAAACATACTGCTAATCAGTTATAGGAAGATGTTGACCACTAGAGTGAAGAAAAAAAACGATGAGTGTGAAATGAGAAGCTGTGAAGAAAAACAGCTGACCACATTTGCTCGGTCGCAAAAATAAATGTCAACAAAAATAAACATCAGTCACTTCAGTTTATTTTCCACTCTGCTCTAGTTTGATCTTTATCTCTCATCACGACTATTTTAACACATTTTTTACATTCATGTCTCTCAACCCCATAATGTACAGATGTTTGGCCTGATCAAGTATCTCCATTGTCCCGCAGCTTGTCCTTTTTTCACTTTTGTTCAGTTTGGTCCAATGCTTTTCCGCTCTCCACAAACCACAATGAAACACCACAGAGCAACTAAACCAGCAACATCAGCCGCATCAGTCACTGAATCACCACATGAAATGATTTTCAGCAAGAGATCTGAATCTGAATGCTTTACATGAACAAAACATGCATTTTGTGCAAATACAGAAGCAAGTTACATTCAAATAAGCATGCAGATTTATTCTTCAGCCTCATTATTTGGTTCTGGGACAAAATATCTTTAGGTTTTCAAGCACCAACCCAACAAAACATGCTTTTGTTCTGCTGTCTGTCAGCTCTGGCCTTCTGTTACTCATTGATTTGGTTTTACTTTTACATTGATGCATTTAGCAGATACTATTTTTCAAAGTGACTTATATTTTACATCAACTGTAGTCTTGAAGACTGAATATTACTTGCACGGTCTTGCATTCACCCCATGATTGATCAAATATACTGAATCCCAAAATACAATATCCTACTGGCCATCATTCTGGAATGACTTAAATATAACTACCACATGAAAAGAACGATCAAAAGAGAGAAAACATGTAGTGAATAAACATTCAAACTTTAAAAATGCTTTTTTAAATGTGACAAACATTAACCTCATCACG